GATCTGCAGCGCGATGAATGACAAAGACCCGCTCATGGCTCCGGAGAGGTTAGCAGTGTAAAGAACTACTAGTGAGATCTAGCTGTGGCTCAGTCCCGTTCTTAAGGACTTGCCCCTCCGCCTTCGAACTTTGAAATTCTGAGAATTTTGATGCGTTATCGCTGCGAACCCCTTCCCTTGTCTATTCGTTTTTTCCGTTTTGGACAGCACAATATGCAGGAACTTGGCTGCTGATCTCAAAGGCGAATTGAAAGCGATTTGACCCTCGCAAACGAGTCCGTCACTGAATCATAACTGGTTTTCTGGTCAAGTGATCCTTCGAAAACAATCTCTAAACTCTCGTACCAGTTTGAATTGCGAAAGACTTCTCACCACAGACTTTATTGGAATGTTTTTCTGTACAGCTTTCATTCAGTACTGCTGAAATGATATGAACGGCGAGTCACTTGGGCGTCCTCTGTTCTTCAGTTCGACGCTTTTGGCCCAAAAGGGTCGAACATTAGTTGCTTGGGGAAAAAAGAGTGAAGCAGACTTCGTCGTGATGCCCTCAAAAGTCCTTCCAAGGCAAAATTAGCTGGCAGTTAATGGATGTCGAGATAGGCAGCCATGAAGACTATGGGCCAGTAACTCCAGTGATTCGGACTTCAAAATTGAGCAGGGAGAACATAGAGCAATTTTGGATTATTTTCCGAGAAATTGTTCAAGCAGTAGGTAGAGGTGTAAACAAAAGTAAATTTGTAAAGTTCAGATTTCCTATGGACTCCTACAAAAAGCCATCGCAAGCCCTCGTTCCATGCGACTAACAGTAGAGGACTTGTGAGGATAAAAATACGCGTGACTTGAATCGTCGTTGGACCTCATTCCTGAGTCAACAAAGCGCGCAATTGTACCAAATGGAAGGCTAGGATTCCCGGCTCGGAGTCTGGGCAGTGCCAGCAGTGCATTCCGGAAATTGGTTCATTGAGCCACGGTAATTCTCACTTTTTTTCCTTTCATCTCTACAAACCGTGCGGCCCAATAAAAGGTTATTCGGCCCATGTAGTAAACTGGGTGGCAAAATATTGTTCATATGAGCGTTTCTATCCTCCTTATCCTCCTGAGCAAGTCTCCCATCGTAGGTTTATTGGAGGCTCAATGATCTAACCCTAATCAGTGCTCATTTTCTGAGAGAGCGCTTTTAGCCCGGACCATCATTCTTCCCCCGCAAAACACACCCAGTGAATCTTGTGTCACAGAGAAGCCATTGCCGTCTTCCCCAACCAGACGACTACTCAGCCTGTGCGGTAGGATCACCCATCATTTTTTAGCCTGAACACTGAGTTTTACCACACTCCGGGGGCAGAATACAAGTTGCTTTGCCGGCACTATCCGCCTGCTTTGGGAGCGAGGTTACGTACATCACTGGGGAAGCCCTTCCACATTGCCACGGATCAATCGCATATTGATTTCTGTCCATGGCAACCGAAATTTTCATGCCGTTAGGATGACTAAAGGTACCAGGCTTGTCTATGAGAGAAAAACATCGGTTGACTCGTGGAGGTTTCCACGGACACCTTGAACTTCAGCTAATTTACTGTTTCTCACCTTGAAACTGAACTCCTTTCTCCCCGGGTTCCCCTCCCAAAAAATCTGAATCTAGGCCTTGCGCATTCCTTTGCACCCAGTCCGTTTTTGACAGCGGCCGCTGTCTTCTAGCTGCTACGCAACAAGATTCTGCAAGTTTGCAGTTAGTGGCCAAGTGGCGCTCATATCAATGAATTCTTCTCAAAGAATTCGGATTTTAAAGAAAGGGGAATTGTGTGCACATCATTGAAGGAAATCAGAGCGACGCCGAGCTTTTCAGTTTTATATTTCAGCCAGGAGACCATCGTCAAGCGGTTTGGTATCTCCTAGCTTCAGATCTAATCCTTTCCAGCCGCCTCGACTTGCCCTGTTAAGGAAGATGACTTTTACTGAAGATGACTCGCTCCCAAAAGAATTCCCCCGCCAGTACACCCACACTTCCTTGTCCTCCTCCCCAACTTTCGACATTTTTTCCCGCCCTACCGGAGCGATCCTCCAGTTTTTTTTCAAAACCTTAGGGGAAAAAGGGTGGGACCTCCTTTGGGGCTTTGAAGAACCCCTCTCAGATACGGTCCCACCCTTGCTGGGTATCCCCAACATAAAACATGCCCTGGACTCTTTAGCCTGGTGGTCAGACTTGGAGGAGTCCTCGCAGGAGCTTTTTCAACGAGGTAGGCAGGCACAAAGGTCATATTTCAGCCACAAAAACCCCCTAAAGAAGAAATCCATGTAAATCCATTTTGGCGATCCAATTCCCATCCTCTGGAATTTGATCACAAAAGTGCTCCCCTCGTGGAATTTCGCTGTCGTTTTTTACGGTCTCAGACGATTAGCCTATATTCGTCGCACGGCATGACCCACATTGAAATTGTATGGGGTTTCTCCTGCGAGCACTCTTGACCGCTTTCTATCAATGTGTCGGTACGGAAGAACTTTCTCCCCTGTAACGGACGGGCTGTTTTTGGATTGTAAGGAACTACTGGGAACGGAAATGGAGCGGTAACAACAAGCAGTTGACAGATAAGGAATGTCCATTCATCATAGTGGGTTTGGCCGGCCGAGATAACACAAGAACAGGCCGCTTATGTCGCTCATTCAAAGTGCCTGTCTCGCGCTTATCCCAACAGGGAGACTGAGCTAAAATGACAACTGAAGAACTCGTTTAAAGCCGCCGAAAACTCGCAGATTAATGTGTTCGATTGTATTAATTGCGTTGTATTGAAACGTTGCGACAATGTTGCGCGTTCAATCGTTCTAATTAAGTCTGTATAAGAGCCTGCTCGGGTTCTCCTTGGCCTTTGCAGGATTTCCATGTTGCTGACTAAAGAAGCACTCAGCTACTTCATTAGATTGCTCAGCGAGTCCCTCAGTGCTGCACAATTGTCGACACGCGCCATGCAGTCCACTTCCATTCGGAATGGCACCTTGAACGGGCCTGACCACACAATCATTTGTAGGAGCCGGGACAGTTTCCCAGACGAGTCTAGCGAAAGCTAACTAGGGATGGAAGGCTTGTTTAGGGGGAAGGGTTTGTTGCGGAATTCCATCGCATCATTTCAGCTAGACTGGATGGCTAAAGAAAGCGGAGGTCTAGTAATAATCATGCGTTATATGGAAACCATGAGGAACCCTGTTGGTACCAGTCGTACGCTAGTGAATCCCCTCGGGAGTCGTATACGGTCGCTGAAGGCAGGAGGCCGTTTGGCCGGGAAGAATTTCCTTGGATAATTTATTTCCCCTGTTTTACGCGTGTCCCCTCCCAAAATGTTGCCGTCGCAAAACCGGCCTCCATTCGACAGCAGTAGTTTATGAAGTTAGGAAAACTCAGGAGTATATGATTGGTAGCATTAGGAAGGAAGTTCGTGCCAGATGAGGAAATTTGTGGGGAGGAATAGTGGTTTGCAAAAATTATCCTTAGCAACGGGAAGTATCATGTGAGAAATGCTCAGTCACAGTTACAAAGCTAGGTACTGGATGGAGAGCTCTGAAAAAACAGGCTACCAAATTTGGTTCGCGGGCCTCATTCTTTTAGATACCAAGGAAAGCTGCACAGGTCCTATTGTTCTGGTAATAGTGGCTACGTGGTGGATCCTCCAAGAGGCCAAGCGGACACCAGAACGACCAATGTCGATGGTCCCTTGTAAGATCTCAACACGAGAGTGATAACCGCATTTGTATTCTTTGGGCGAAAAGAATTCTTAGGACTATTTCAGCTCTTAATAGGGGGGGGGGCGGTGCAATGAAGAAGTCATCGACGCCCGTTCGACGAAATCGGTGACGCCTGAACGACCCTCAAATGGAACATGTGCCAAAGCCTCAACCCCTACAGTGGT